TTCCAACATACACCATTGCCTCTTACACTAGAGGTATTGAGATCTCATTATTTTTCTCTTCAAGATACTCCTCCCCTTATAGCTTGCTCATTGATCTGTAAGTGTCAATGGCTAAAGTTCTATAGTGGTCCTTAAGGGAATAGATGGAAAAATCTCAACGCATGGTTCCTGTTTGCCTGGGGAGAAGTACAGATATGTTTGGAAATATAAGATGCTGACTTTGCAAGGAGGCAATCATTTAGACCTATGGCACAACAACACCATGGGAAGGACAAGAAATTGGCACTGGCATACTTTTTGCTGACTTTATCTGACCTGTTCTACAAGAATTCTTCTCAATTCCCTTCTAGACCTACACTATTATTTCTAGTATAATATATGTGACATATGTGTGTGACATAATATATAACATATATGACATCTTATATATATACATGTATGAGAGCTAATTATATATATTTATATATGTATGAAAGATAAAGATAGACCAACATTAAGGTTCTGTCCTTTTGGTTTCATTTCTCATGGTCTGTATTGAGCAATTTTTCTTCTTACCACATTCCAGAAAGAGGTGACTTCATGTCACTTCTTTGCTCAAGCAATCAACTCTTTCCCTCTGTAGGAACCTAAAGAAAACTACTCTAGTAGTCTTTCCAGGAACTGGTTCTAATCTCTGTAACATTTAGGCATTCTCATTTGAAAGCTTTTTCTTTCCTTCTGCACCTATGTCTACTTATTCTGTTTATTTAGAGCATCTACCCAATGAGCAGAGACAATAATATTAAAATTATTATATTTTCCATGGAAACATTAACATTTATTGGTACTTAAAAAGTAAGAAATACAACAGTTTTTCACAGCACAACTTCATATACCAAATTAGTTACTATAGTGTAGCTCAGAATGATGTGGTCTATCAGAAATCCACTAGGTTTTGCTGTCCCCTTTTATGAAGGCCATCCTGTTAAATAGGGCATGCTGCTATTCACCATTAACCTATTTGTTTTGTTTTTCTCTCCTATTTCAAACAATAGCTTCATGGCCAAAACCATATCCAAAAAAGTTCTTTCCCTTAGTAACATACCCTGACCTCCACCAGGTGCCTATAATTTAGGAATGCTTTATTAGGGTTTTGTAGACTCTGATATTTAAGAGTACCAGCTTCTTTAACAATCTGATCTCACCTATCTATAGATGCTGCTGCCTACTCATTAAGATATCCTCTTAGCCAGCCAGGTATGCTTCTTTAATACACCTTCAAGATACCATGAGCTTTCTCCATCTCTAAGTCTAAGCCACCCTTGGAGCTTAGGTAAACTATGACATTCATAACAAATCTTTCTTGTCCAAGAAGCTCTTCATGAGGACTCATTCTATAAGAACTTTAGAAGGTTCTAAAATGTTAGCAACATGATATAGAATACCTCCCAAAGTTAAATTGGAAAGAGAACTAACACTTTGTATCAAATTAGATGATCAGCTTTAAGGAAGCTAGTAGCAAAATTAGCAGTCATAAGCTCAGCATCACACATGTATTTGTGCTACACTGAACTATCTGTGGCTTTTCCTTTCGATGATGTCGGCAAGCAACTTAAAGACAAAGATGTTTTTATATAGCTTAAGAACCACCTTCAATATTAATACTAATATTGCTGCTGGCAAATAGGTTGAATTGAAGAATGAATAATGACAACTAGTCAGTAATAAGGAATAGGTCCATATGGCAACACTCTCAACAAACTGGATAAGATTTCCATCTCATGGAGACAACTATAAGAGTTGAGCAGAGAAAATGTATGTGGAAATATGGGTCAGAATGTCAGTTTCCAAATGGTTTCAGAGATCTGTGACATACCAACCCCTTACAGAAAAATGAGCTACTATGGAAATGTTCCAACCAAAGCTAAAGGATAAGAGAAAGGCATAAGGATCCTCAACCTGCCTGTGATATTCTCATTCACCAGCATCTCTTCAGCAAGAACATGTAGCCTATTCTTCATGGAAGGAAGGAAGTATTCCACCTCTGCCAGGAGCAGGAAAGAAAGAGGTATCACTGAGCATTCTGATCCCATTTAGTGGGAACGCATTTAGGGTTGTTAGAGGATGTATGAACACATCACACATCACATATATTGTGATTGCTGTATTTTCTCTATCCCATCTATGCTACATTTTATAGACATTAAGACATTTTATAAACAATTACATTATGCCACAGCAAGAGTACAGTATATCAACTAGAAAACCTGAGATCAAATAACTGACCTTAAACCAAGTGCCAGTGGTTCACATCTATAATCCTAGCTACTCGGTAGGCTGAGCTCTCAGGATCATGGTTCAAAACTAACCCAGGGAGGAAAATCTGTGGGACTCCTATCTCCAATTAACCACCAGAAAACCAGAAATGGAGTTGTGGCTCAAAGTGGTAGAATGTTAGCCTTAAGTGAAAGAACTTAGGGATGTCACCCAAACCTTGAGTTCAAGCCCCGCAACAGACCAAAAAAAAAAAAAAAAAGAAAACTGAATTCTCAGTCAAGGAGCTAAGTACATTTAATTTTTATTGTGTTATCAATGTTTTAACATTTTGCTTCTAGATCTGTTAACATTAAAGTACTAATAGTGTTACCAATGTATTTTGTAAACTTTGTAAGTCTAGTACTGTTGCTTGACAAATGTTAACTTAATACCTATAATGTGTAGGAGTTGTTGAGGAATTAGAATCAAATGAATAAAACTCTGTGTTCAAGAATCTAGGAAAAGGATTAAAAATGAACCAAAGGCTTAGTCAAGGACTAAATAATTTAAGAACTGAGAAAAATAGCCCTATACTTTTTTTTTTTTTTGATGGTTGTGGGGCTTGAATTCTGGGCTTGGGTGCTATCCCTGTGCTCTTCAGCTCTAAGCGAGCACTCTACTGCTTGAGCCACAGCACCACTTCTGGTTTTCTAGTGGTTAATTGGAGATAAGAGTCTCACAGACTTTTCTGCCCAGGCTGGCTCTGAACCGTGATCCTCAGATCTCAGCCTCCTCAGTAGCTAACATTACAAGCATGAGCCACTGGCACCCAGCTATCCCTATACTTTAACTGGGGATTGCATGTTAATAAAACCATATGAGTAGGCAGATATTACAAAGATGGTAGTTCTAGGCCAACCTGGGAAAAATTGGTTCTCAAGACTTCATCTCAACAGAAAAAGCTAGGTTCATGATGGTGTTTTTCATCCTAGCTATGACAAGAAGTATAAATAGGAGGACTGCAGCCCAAGCTAGCTGAGGCAAAAAGTAAGACCCAGAAAGGGCCAAAGGCGTGTCTCCAGCAGTGGAACACCTTGCCTAATAAGTTTAAAGTTCTGAGTTCAAACCTCAGTACCACAAAAAGGAAAAAATCATATACATATACAAATATATGGAAGCATATGTATGTACATATATCTCATATGCTTCTAGAGCAATAACAAATTCAAAATTTCAAAAAAAATTAAAATGGACTCTCTCTTAAATAACGAAGTCAAACCTCTTCCAATACTAGATTGCCTCTTGTCAAACGAATAAGCAGCCCATGATTTCCACATCTGTCACTTCAACTAAACATAGATCCAAAGCATTTAGGGTAAAAAAAAAAGTTCTAGAAAGGTTGAAAAACTAACACTTGAATCTGTCATGAGACCAAATCCATGCAAATAAGGTAAGGAGTAGTCATTGTCTCAGGTATTATGAGCAATCTATAGATGATTTAAAGTGGACAGGAGTACTACACAAGTTCTATGAAAATTTTGTGCTATGTTGTATAAGGGAACAGAGTATTCACAGGGAGTCTTAGAACCAGTCTCCGATGGATACTGAGGAACTATTCCACTATCCTATTGTTTTGCACAGCTGCTGATTTTAGAAGTTTTTTCTAACGAGTTTTATTTAACTTCATCAAAACATTTCAGCAAAGGTAATAATATTGGTTAATAATACAATTTTGCATGTCTCTCATTCTTATAGCTTCCAGAATATTCCACATGTACTATTTCAATAGGTCTCATGTGGTCACCAAAAAACCCAGAGGAGAAAGCAGAGCTGTTTACTGTCTTTCTGGCTGTGTGTTATTCATATTGCACAGAGGCATCTGGGGCCCAGAGGAGTCTGATGAGTGACAGTAACAACTGACATTTGTCAGACTCATCAGACATACAGAAAATTGCTGGCTAAGCCCCCCAAATGAAAATTCTTTACAAGTTATTACCCTTGAAAACTGCTGTTCCCACTGGTGTATGTTCTCTGACAGAACATCCCACAGCATTCAGTGTCTTGGGATTCCTAGATCCCCATTCCTCATTCCTCATTGGTACCTCATTCCTTCTTCAAATACAGGACAACCTCTTTTCTCTTACTCTGTTCTCATTAATAAGAGCAAATTTCAGTCACCAGCTCTCCTATCTTAAAGAGCCAAAGCTCCTAAATTATGTCCTTCAAGAATACATATGCCTTTAAATATCACATAGCTCTGTAATAGAAACTTTTATTCTGATTAATATAAGGTATTGGCTATGAGGTGGAGGAATTCTGAGGGGATGAAATGGACTCTACTGTAGCTGACACCCAAGTGCCCAACTTCCCACACTGGTTTGCAAGAACATCTGAGCCTACCTTCAGAGACATAGTTGGGAAAAGGGGCTGGAAGTAGTGCATCTGCCATGTACACCTGAAAGAAACTTCAAGCATGTGCAATAACAGATATAATAGATAGAGAAAGCCCACTGTGTCTGTGAGATATATATGTGAGGAAAAACAAGAATCTGGGAAGCAGCCAGAAGTTTAGAATGTTATCCCCAACCCTCACTCCCCTCACTCCCTATCCCACACATGTATATTATTCCTGATCTCACGGCACAGGCTCAAGTCCTGTTATAAGGGCTCCGAAAGCCCACCCAAATCCAGAATGGAGTGTGCTTTGGTCCTACAATCTGGATTTCTTCCACTTGAGCAGACTGAATGTACAAAGCTGTCCTTACCTCGTAATGGGCCACACGCTGGGATTCAGATATCAGTTGAGCACTGCACACCTTGCAGTAACTGTCTGTAAACAAATCCTGATCAATGTCGGAGGACTTCATCAGGCTAAAGAAAAATCAAAAGAAAAGAAAAGTGAGTCCACTACTCTGACAGCAATGCAAGCCATTCATTGTGGGAAAATCTAGGAGCCCACCAGCAGGTCTGATGGTAGTAGCAGTTGGACAGCCTCTTCAGACCTTGATGTCAGCCTAATGATTAACGATAACAAGGAAACAGTTTACAGTTTCCTTATAAATACCCAGAAGGATTTATGGAACCCTAAAAAATAAGAATGCAACTTCAGTTTTTCTGTTTAAATAAACCAGACTTATAGCTAATGTTTTGTTAAGATTTTACATAAGAGTATATTTACATATGTGATATATTAGCAAAATATTGTAAAACACATAATATATGTAGAATTTTGATATATCCACAAACTAGAATGATGTGGCTCTCAAATACAAATTTACAAGAGGTTTATAAACAAGTATGTTACAATACTATATTGAATGTGTTCTAAAATATGTATGATGTGCATATGAAAACATGCCAGGAATTTTAACAGAAATTTTAATAGTAGTTATCTGTCACAAATTAGACATAATGCTTTTATAACCTTTTTATTTTTAAAAACTCTCAGGGAACAAGTTATCATACATACAATATAAAATTGAATTTGAGTTCATTAACTAAACAAAGAAAAGTTAAGGTTGAAATCAAATGAAAATACAACTCTCTTTACAGCCTCAACTTTGTTATTTCTACTACCTCTACATTTAGAGTCACTGAAATCCATCAAAGTTACCATTACCACCCCACCCCATAATGAAACTCACAGAGCAGTTGAAGATATCTTACAATTTCAAACTCTGCATCAAAATGCAGCTAAGGATATCAAATTTGTGAAGCAACCTGTCAGAAATATACCATATAACAGCTAAAAGGTCATGCTATCACCTAGAAACATACACCAGCATAATATGATGCTCACCAATTCACTCATCTCCCACCAGAGTAAGGAGAATCAGGAGAACCTAGACAACAGCAATCTGGTATGCACATTGGCAACAATTTCCTCTTATTACCAAGCTACATTGCTGGTTGCTAGCATGGCCAGAGAAGTTACCTAACTTGCATGATTCTACTTTGCACACACAGACCCACTGCAGATCTAACACTAACATGTAATGACACAGAAATCCTGCTGTGTCTCAGTTTCCCCCCATAAAGATGGATATAATATTTACCTATGCCTCCTTAGAAAATTGTAAATCAAAAAAAGAAACATCTAAGGAGGTGCTATATAAAATACAAAACTCTCTACATTCAAAAGGAATCAATATTATATTTTTAATGGCATCCCAGTATTGATAAAATATTTGCCAAGTCTTAAGCAATGTAATAAAATGAATAATACTGGCCGTTTTAAGAGGCTGTAGAAACCATGTAAATAGCTAACTCATGTAAGTAATGCATCTGCTTAAAATAAAAGGCTTCCTGTCTCAAGAACTTGAAACTTGCTTTCTTTCTTTGGCCTCAGCTATAATAGCCCTTTCAAAGCATTGGTATTTTAGCAGCTCAAAAGGATTCAAAATAAAAGACAATAGTAAGCACTTCTGTTTTGAAGCAACCACTAATTACATCAGACACTAAGTACCATACTCACAGTTGATGTGGACTTGCTATGTTCAAACGATTGTTCCCCCCCTCAAAAATGGAATGGACCTCACTCAGCATGGATCCAGTATTTGCCATGCCTCGAGTTCCACTCACCTCACAAGACAATTGGTCCACAGAAGAGCTACAGTGATTAGGTTTTAAAATCTGACCACCATAATTTTCATTCATTAATTCTATCCTTGGTATAGTTTTAGACCCCATTTTCATTAGGTACCCACCCTCCAGTCATTGAAGATAATTCTCTAAGATGTACTCTTAAGTTCTATTCTCCTCATCACCTTGATTTGTGTCTATTTGCGTGTGATCCATCTTTGATAACAGTATCAAAAAGAATAAGCACTCCAGAGACAGTCTACTTCTTTAGACTTCTTTATAATCTCAACGCCATTCCAATGACTGCTATGATTTGTAGTGGTCTCTATTCACATACTAGAATGAAAATGGAAAAGAGGAGTTTTGATGATGGGAAAATGTAATACAACGTTTTGAAATTTCAAATTGGAAATGAAAACTAAGTAAGGTGTATTTTTAAAGCCAAGTTTCTATAAGTGGCTATGTTTAAATATGATCGTGTTCCCTGCTATTTCTAATAAAGAAGCACACAAAGATAGATTCATAGGTGACCTGGTTAATAGAAATCTCCAAACTCCCTGCATACTCCTTCCTCATTATACAACCAACTGCAGAAATCAAACACTGTGAAAGGATATTCAAGGTACGCATTGGACCAAGTGGGGCCTGTAGGAGTCTGTGTCTTGGTAAAGCAGCTGTGCAGCAGAAATAGCTTTAAAGACAGAATATAAAATGTGTATACTGAAAAAAAATTGAAGGAAGAAAAAATACCATAGTTTTCCCCAGTGTTTTATATAAGAATATTGGCTTGAACAAGTCTATATGGTATAAAACAGGCAATGAAGGCCCTTCTGAATCTGTGTGACATGAACTAAATACCTGAACACATTAAATTCCAGTGGGAGGCAATTAGTTGACAACTGTCAGACTGGTTTGTACATAAGACCTTTCTCAAAGAAAAGAGAACTCGCTCTGTGTAGGTCATTTTAGACAACCAGAAGGCCCTATTTATGATTCAAAGACTAGAATTCCCAAGAAAGAACTGCCATTTGCTCCCCTCTTCTGGCTTCTTTGGAGTAGAATTCTCAGTTTCATTGGCCTTCAGTTCAGGAAAACTGGTTAAGAGAGAAAACAGCAATTCTTTCCATTTCCTAACAAATGTGTCATTCTTTCTGATAGAGGCATAGAATCCATATATATATATATATATATATATATATACATATATATATATATATATATATATATATACGTATGAATATCACATTTTTAAAAAGAAAGAAAACAGCAAAACAAAAGAGTGTTCATGGCTCTGTCCAAGGCAAACCTATGCTTGCACCATCATTTGGATCAATAATAGCACCACAATACATCACTGCTCAAGTCTATGGGGTATCACCAGAGCCAGTTTTTCATGACCTAGGAATGTGTTTACTGTTCAATGTTGTGAGGCCTTGGAACATTCTGAGAAAGGAAACCAAGAAAATAAGCAAGGGGTCTAATTTCCTGACTCTGAAGACTTCCACTGTTGTACTGTGCTCCAACAACACATCCCAAAGGCACCACTGAAAACTTGACAAAACTAAGTTGATCTTCAGTATCCACATAACATGATGCCATCAATAATTTAGTGAAGAGGTTCACATTGGAAGTAACATCTATGTTATAGTATCACTAGATTCTCTTTTGCTGTCCCGGGAGTCTATATTACAATATATCTATGCAGCTGGGCAGCAGTGATGGTATAAGAATCATATATGCCTATAGGTCTAATAAATAGAGGAAATCTAGAGGAGAAAGGATTTTATTTGTTCTGTAATGGTAATTGAACCTTTATTTTATATGAACTATAAGTATTGCAGAAGGTACAACCTCTGGGTCCAAATCTTCAGAGGCTACTAGTTGAGAAGAGATACAAAGGAAGCCCTAATAAACAGACTGCAGTTATGATCTGACTGCTGAAAAGTGCTTAAGGGGTATGAGAACACAGGAGAGATTATCAAGGATCTTCTCAAAGAGTTTCTATAGGAATTTAAAATTTTAAAGATGGATAGGATTAAAGTGGGATGGGCATTATATGGATAAGATTCGTTCTTCCAACTTAGAAGCTAATTCTCTTCTCTGGCACAGAGAAAAATGTTACTACTGGTAGGCATAAAAAGACATTCAGGAGACACTGGTTGGTCTAATTTGGGCTAACACAAAGTAAAGGAAAATACAATTTTAAGAAATGGAAGTCATTCCTTCAATGGAAGGAGTGACTCAGGAGGGAGAACAGGCAGGCCCTAAGTGTTTCCCACAGTGCAAGAGATGGCCTTATTCAGGATTCTCAGGTCCAAGTCTAACACCTTCCTCTTGGCTTCTAAGGAGCTGATTGCAGGCTTGAAACTGAGAAACCTTCAACTCTGTGGGAAAGAGTAATATTCCTTTTTTCCATTCCTCATTTCTGACAGTGTGAAAATAACTTTGACTCAAAGATCTCTAGACCCATGCAGGGCTCTTCAGAGTGAAAAGTCTTGATTGTTCATTAATCAGGTTGTTCAGCAAGTTACATAGCCTTTCAGAGCTCTGTTTCTGTCACTGTGAAATGTGAGGGAAGGTGTTCTCAAAACATTATTATGAGGATTAGAAATGATATAGTAGATAAGGCATGAAACAGACTGGCATATGGCAAATACTCAAAATGCTAATAATGCCACCATTATTAGAGATATTACTGATTCTGTTTTATCATTACACTTATTTTCAGAGGGATTCTATAAGTATTTAAGAAGATAAATAAATGGAATGACATTAGAAGCTAAGAAGGGAGATAACATGGTCAGTGTACTGAAATCATGCTTTTATGGCTATTACATAGTTCATTTGTATTGACAATATCATCCTCAGAAATGGCTGCTGTCCATGAAATACAGCTGCCAACTCTTCCTGCCAGCTGATACCGGAGACTCTATAAAATGCTTAGAATCTATTTTTGTTGTCAGAAGGTGCTGATACTGCCCAAGGGAGTTTAAAGATAACTTTGCCCCACCTGCTCTCCTTTCCACCAATGCTCAACTCCCTGTGACCTACTCCCCAGGAACACAAATGGAAGCAACAACGTTTGAGCAGAGGCCAAGGATAGCAATGATCTGAGCCCACCGCCCTGACTGCAACATTCTAATACACCATAAAAACCACAGTCCCCCAGGGACATCTCCTCCACCCCAGACCCTTAAGAGGAGAAGGCCTGAGATTGAGTCCTCCAATGGTGGACATCCCTCTATCACAGGCTAGAGTACTTTTTGCCATAAAGCTTATGAGGTCTAACA